TGAAAACAATAAATGCAAACTTTAAATGTAGAGCCTGAGTGTTTATTTTTCATGGCTCTTTTGGTCAAAAATACCTGAGTATTGATTTGTATGTTAATTGTATCTTGCACTTTTGAGGATGTAGCAAGTAAAGAATGAGCTTTGCTACCTTTTAATAGACACTCAAACTTTTTATATCTACACAAAGAAACTTAGAAATGCCACTTTGATAGAGAATGAGCTCCAGGCCATGGCAAGAAACTCCCATCTCTGGTGAGCAGTGTTCTGCCCTGTGTTGTTACTGCACCTGAACTGTGCGTGGAAATGGTGATTTTTTTGCCTCTGTTTCAGTGAGAAGTGTCGTGTTCCAGCGTGGTGTGATCGGATACTCTGGAAAGGGCAGAACATTGCCCAGCTGAGCTATCGCAGCCACATGGCTCTGAAGCTCAGTGACCACAAGCCAGTGAGCTCTGTGTTTGATATTGGGGTAAGTACATCAGTGCTGWCCTCATCCCCTGCGTGCTGATTTCCCTCTCCTGCTTTCATGGCATCTGCAGAAAACAATGGCTTGAAAGGTGGGCTGGATCGGATATGAGAGGGATTGTTGATCACAGTAAGCAAGGGTTGTGTAAATGATACTCTGCTTAAGCAGGACAAGGCCTCAATAGCTGCTCATGTTCTCTGGGAACACAGTAGTGTGTTGTCAAGCTTCTTATTTTTTCTGAGGGAAAAAAAATGTTGATCTAGTGCTGACTGAGTGACTCTTGTTAGTTATGGCAAAGTCCTTTACTGAGAAGATCCTGGAGATTAGTGCTCCAAGCAGCTCTGCCCATTACCTGTGTTGTATACTCCAGCATGCTGCTAAAATCAAATCACTTCCCATATTTCCAGCTGTGTTCCAGCTGTTCTGCAGAGGCACAGCAAATGCCAGCTGGTGCAGTGTGTGTCCTTTCCAGGTGAAAGTTGTGAATGAGGAGCTCTATCGAAAAGCCTTTGAGGAAATCGTCCGCTCCCTGGATAAGCTGGAGAACGCCAACATTCCATCRGTGACACTGTCCCGCAGAGAGGTAGGGCATGGTCATGTGGCAGCACTCTCTGAAGGACCTGAGCAACCCTAGACCCCAGCAGCAGAAGGTGAATTCTAGACCCTGAGGTCTGGTTCCAAAAAGTAGAAGGTCCAGCAGTTCTCTGTTTACGAGCCCGAGGAATCTTTGTTCCTATTTAGATGTCGGTGAATTCCATTCGCAGTCCAAGGCTTGAAACACGGGCTGTGTCATTGCCTGAGGTGGGAGGAGAGAAAGTAAAAAGGTGGTTTGTGACCCTTGCTCTGGCTTGCTCTTTCAAACATAAAATGTAAGGATCTGGAGAAGGTCACAAACCAGCATTTGCTTTGTGTGTTGGGGCTATAAAGATAAGCCCAGGAGACATTTGAGGCTACAGCAATTTTGTTCTCAATTTTATTGTAGTTATTTGAGAGGAGGATTTGTTTTAAAGGGCCCACTGATGCAAAGGACTTTGGCATTCAGAGTAAGCAAGGGGTGATCCTATGCAGTCCTGGAAGAAATGGGATATGGGAGCAAGGGGTTAATTTAGTTGTCTTGCTGCTTAATAATTAAACCACAGAACCAGAATTGCTGCTCAGCAAGGTGAATGGGCTAATGATGCTGATGACATTTGTTTCTAGATCCATTTTGAGGATGTTAAATATATGCAGCTGCAGGTAGAGAGGTTTACAATCCGCAATGGCCAAGTGCCCTGYCAGTTTGAATTTATCAACAAACCAGATGAGCAAACCTATTGCAAGGAGTGGCTGATTGCTAATCCCAGCAAGGGCTTCTTACTCTCAGGTGAGCTCCTCCTTGTTTGTCTCATGTTAATGAGATGGTATTGTCCCCTTCTGGCGTAGTTCTCTCTMCATTTCTGAGAGTGCTGTGCCTGTTGGCAGGCTGTTGGTTTAATACTGGTTGTAACTGAGTGGGTTTTTTATCATCTTCTGGCAGATGCTGAGATCACAGTTGAGCTGGAGGTGTTTGTTAATAAATCAACAGCTACTCGCTTAAACTCTGGAGAGGAAAARCTTGAAGATATCTTAGTCTTACATCTTGTCAGAGGGAAGGATTATTTTCTRTCTGTAACAGGCAACTATTTGCCAAGTTGCTTTGGGTCTCCCATCCACACGCTGTGTTACATGAGGGAACCAATCCAGGACATGYCAGCAGAATCCATTCGGAGACTTGTGAGTTAAAGACAAGATTCTTTTCCAAACAAGAGTATTAAAACTAGGTGTTAAGGTCTGTTTTTATTAAGAAGTCTCAATTCTCAAGTATAAGCTTTGTGAAGGATTTTTGCCAGGTTGCATAAGAACTTTGGCTAACTACCTTTTGTTTGTCTCTCCCCTGCCCACGCTGCCCTCCCTCAGACCCTGATGCCACTGGACATGAGTGATGATCCTGCCCAAGCTGAAAAGCCCATGGACATCCCAAAAGAGCTGTGGATGATGGTGGATCACTTGAATCGCAACGCTTCCCAGCAGGTTGGCACTGGAAACACAAAATGAATTGTTTGCATTAGGTTAAGTTTTGAAGAAGATACTGTTGATAGCAGTCACTGCAAGCTAAGGGTGTGTCAAAGGCTGTGGGAGATAAGTGATCCTGGTTGTWCTGTTTGGTGCTAGTGACTGTGTCTGTGTGTTCAGACATCAGCAGTGTCCTCCTGCACTGCTCTCACTGCAGTGCCACAGCCTTCCTAGAGCTGTTTGTGCTGAGCTTGGCTGATAATCACCAATTTGGAGAGGTTTTTCCAGGCAGATCATAAGGACATTGCTCTTTTTACCCAAAAATCTTCTACTTTCCTTGGACTAAGAAAGGGATGTCTTTGCAGGAGGACCTGTTTCAACAGCCCGGCCTCAGATCTGAATTTGAGCAAATCCGAGACTGTTTGGACAAGGGAATGTATGATACCCTCTGTATCCTTTTAGAATGATGTCCAGGAAAGCTCACTGTGCCAGAGTGACCAAAACTGACAGAGGTGTTTCAGTTGCTGTCTCTCTGTGTTTCCTTGTAGCTCTGTGTCATTGCTCTCAAAGCTTCTGCTGAGTCCTGGTGACATCAGTAAATTACACAAGTAATTTACTGGGATTAACCTGAAGGGGGATTAACCCAAAGCTGTGAGCTGTAGGCAGAGTTCTGGAACACCTAACCAAAAGTTCATTCATGTTTCAGCAGAAATAGGACCAGCCCAGAAATAGGACAGTGCTGTGCTGTTCCTTAACCATGTTTGGATCAGTGGGCAGCAATCACTCGGTGGCAGAGGCCCTGCTGCTGTTCCTGGAGAGCCTTCCTGAGCCTGTCATCTGCTGCAGGTTCTACAGCTCGTGCCTGGAGAGCGCCAGCAACTACAGCCTGAGCTGCCAGGTACTGCTGGCTTCACTGGGGAAACAGCTCCAGGTCCCAAGGGAGGGCAAACTGTCCTCTGCTACACCAGTAATGGGGCTTTGCTCTCAGTAACTTCATCATCTGGTAATAGCAGGGTTCTGGAAGCTTCTGTGKTATGGAGAGCTGTTGAGAGCTGCAAATGGGTGTTASGAAAATTAATCCAMAAGCACTAGRGGTTTATGTCCAAAAAGGAGACAGAGGAGTYSYGYAACTTTATTCATGAATAAAGGGAGAGGTCATGGGCATTTCYCATGGGGTCTCTCMAATTCATAGAGGAYGCAGCCTCCTTTTATCCCAATTTCCCGGCTGCMGTTCCCTCTCTYTTTCCCCATTGGCTGAGGTACTTGAAAGTTACAGGCTCCCCAAAACGCCTGATGAAACCCCCCTTCTATCATACATTGCCCCCTKYCAATATCCATCTCTGTGTCTCTGCTCTSRTAGTCTATTAACATAGACTGGGGTAAGCCAATCACTAGAATTCCTATGCAAATCCTTCCTATTTTTTCTTTCTATCTCCCAATATCAGCYTTATCYCACCCCAGAGTCAGAGTCTGTTTGTAAAGACACTMCCTTCTCATTCCTTTCATGGGGATGGTGGGAGCAGGTGCAGCTGTATCTGCAATAAAAACGTTGGGGTTTTCCCTCCTCAGATTATCTCTGACCTGCCAGCGTGCCATAAAAATGTGTTTGAATATCTGATGGCATTTCTACGAGAGCTACTGAAGAATTCAGGGAAAAACCATTTGGATGTGAATRTTCTTGGTAAGACAAAACAAAATAAAGCTCTCTGTTCAGAGGGGCTGCGCAGTTAGGGCAACAAAACACTGCACACAACCGAGTGCAGTCGTGGCTTTGAACATTTTATTGTAAGTGAACAGTCTGTAGGAAAGCAGGAGCTTTGACCCAGAGGTCAAAAAAGCAGGAAAATGACCCAGAGATGTGGGGATCATAATTTTTTTCCTACCTTACTGCAAAGCCAGCTGTTCTTCCCTGAAATTGGAGTTGGTGGAGTGGTCCCTGATGCCTGCCAGGCTCTCACTGTGTGTCTTTTCCCTGCAGCCAGCGTGTTTGGTGGTTTGTTACTGCGACCTCCTGCCGGACATCCCACACCCGACATTGCTGAGAAGAGGAAAGCTCAGCAATTCATCCGTCAGTTCCTCCTCAGAGAAGATGATTTACCATGAATCTCAGATGCAATCTGACTTTTAGAGATCAAATTTCTGTAAAAAATATTTTTTTGTACATTACACTGACGCTTTTTTGATATCACAGTATTTTATACAATCTATTGCTTTTGAGGGCAGAGATCAGGCAGTTCCACACCTGATTACACTGTAAAGTATATAAAGATTCTAAATAAGCTGTATGTAGAGAAGTAAAAATATGAAAGCGGATATTTTACACTGTATTTTATTTAACATGTTAAAAAAAAACAAAGAGTTTTGAAGTCCCTGCTATTTAAATAAAAAAGATTGGCGTGTTTTGCCGGCCTGGGCCCTGTCAGTCGCGTCCGGCCGCGCGGGGGCGCTGTGCTCCGCCGCCCTTCCTGTCCCGGCAGCCCCCGCGGCGGGCGCGGCGCTCCCGGCGGCCCCCGCGGCCGGAAGCGGAAGTGKGTCGCGGCGATCATGGTGCCGCTGGGGCGGGGAAGGAGCCGCCGCCGGCACCCGGTGAGCGGGTGAGGGGGAAAGGGRRCGGGAGGAACGGGGAGGGACGGGMCGGGCCGGAGCGGCGGGGCCAGCGCGGGCACCGCTAGTGGTTCTTGGCGGGAGTGGACTGAACCGGGCGGGGATAGTACCGCGCTCGGGGCGGGACCGCCGCGCTCGGCCCGGCCCGGCCCCGCCGCCACCGGCTGCCCCGGGGCTGTGCCTGCGAGCGGAGCGGGGCCCGGGCCCGCCAGGCCGAGCCGCCTGACCACCCCGCCTGTCCTTGTGTTGCAGATGAGTCGTTCCGGCCGGCGCTCCCGGTAGCGCGGTGAGAGGCGCGGAGCCATGGGCGAGAACAGTCCCGAGGGCAACGTCATCTGCTATGAAGTGGAAGAAGACGATTTAGCCCAAGATGACAATATGATGAGGTTTGCTGACAAAAACGGGCTGGTGTCTTCCTCATCCGGGACGGTTTATGACAGGACAACTGTGCTCATAGAGCAGGACCACAGCGTGCTGGAGGATGAGGAGGATGAAGGACAGTGTGGTGATCACTTGCCTTTTTTACCGGAGGGTCATGAAGAAGGATTTCATTTAATAGCAGATCATGAAGGAATGTCACAAGGTTATGTGCAACATATTATTTCTCCAGATCAGATCCATCTAACAATAAATCCTGGTTCAACTCCTATGCCAAGAAACATCGAAGGAGCAACACTCACTTTGCAGTCTGAGTGCCCAGAAACCAAGCGTAAGGAAGTGAGTAGCTAAATGTCATTCTGGGTTTTATGCCTCTTGTGGTTTTACTCTTAAAAACTTTGAAAATGTGCTTTCCCAAGATTGTTTTTCATGAGACAGGCAGGAGTTTTGCTTGAGAGGTTTTATGTGATGCAGTGAGCTACCTTTCACTAAATCTGCTCTTGTCAGCCCCAGCTGTGCTGTGTGTGATGGGCAGAACCATGTCCCAGCAGAGCTGCCAGAGCCATCCCTTCTCTTTCTAACACCACCTGCTGTCCTAGGAACCTGCCAGGAGGCACTTTGTGACACTGGATGGCAGGAGGGTGTGGCACTGACACCTTTGTGTCAGCCATGTGTGTCATTTTAGTSATCTTCTGGTTTTCTTCTGGTTGGGTGATGATTTTGTTATTTCAGAGGTAGCTGAAACAATCTGAGCTGTTACTCTGGGTTTGTCCWCATTCTTGAGAAAAGCACATGCAGGTCACAGCTAAGGGCCAGGCCACTTTTGGGAGTTGGAGTACCAAATGTGAAATGCCAAACTTTAAATTACTTGGGAGTGAGTTTTATTGTGTCACAGGGAAACTGAGAAGAAGAGGGAAGCTTTAAGCTGCCATCTGATGTATTTTGAAAACTCAGATCAGCCTGCATGGTTAAAATGGAATTTACTCTTAATTCTGTTTCCTTAATGAATTCTACCTGGATGCATCAATGGTGGGGGCTTGTCCTGGGACTCTTTGGGTGTAAGAGCAAAGGAAAATTGACTGTGACAGCAGCTCAGGGACAGCCTAGTGCTCCTTTGTTGTTGTGCCTGAGTTAGGTGAGAGGTGATGGATGAGTCCAAGTGTCTGTGCYAGTGTCAGTGGTAGCACCACCAAGTATTTGTGCAACCAAGARGGAAAGTGCTGCAGCACTGAGCCCTGGCTGTGACACTGAATGTGTCCATCAACAGAGAACTGTCACCATCGTGTGCTGAGTACTGGGAAACGGGGCTGGAGGTGGGGTCAGCTCTGCAGCTGGGGAACGCCTGGACTGTGTGTTCTGCAAGCATGTTTGAGTCTCTTTCTGTCAGTTATTCACACTAGGATTTGCAGACTGTAGCTGCTTGAAATATTTAACTTTCTCTGTCAGTCATGTGGGTACTTTCTGTCCTCTTTGTGGGACTCTGTTTAGCTCCCAGAGCAGGGAGCTAAACAGAGTCAATGGCTGTGCATGCAATCAAAATGACTTTATTTTTTCAGTGTTGCTTTTTAGAGAAGGCTTGTAACCTGTGGAATTTCCTAATAAAATCCTTTATGTGAATTTATTTTCCATTTCTGGAATTGATTTCCCAGAGCAGGGGGCAGTGATACCATAACATATAAGCAATGGCAGTGAGCTCTGAGCACGTGTGAAACTTCCATCTTMTGAAAAGCCTTTTTGCCTGTTGTTTCAAAAGTCTGACAAGTTGTCTGGAGGTGGGGAAAGGAAAGCTCTAAAGCCCCTGAATATCTGGCTTATCTCTGAAAATCAGCAGCTGAATTCTTTGGTGCTTCCAAAATGTCTGCAGCATCTTTAACACTTGAGATAACTGTTTAAAAGTCTTATATTTTCAGTTCAGTCTTAGACATTTATGAAGCTGAAAAGAGGGTTTTGCACTTCAGTTACCTTTTTTTTTTGTTCTATTATGTCTCTCACTGTAATTCTGTTGGTAAGAGCTATCGTGATTACAGTTTTGTATTTCAAATTCATTAATTCTTTGTTTAGTGATGAGACAGAAAATGTAGCCATTTAGGGGGAATGTTATAAGCTCAGGAGGAGTTAAAGGCAAATGGAGCAGTTACTGTAGACTTTGGACCAGGGTGTGAGGCTCTGCTTCCGCCAGCCCTGTTAGCTGTTGCACAACAAGTTCCCGTTTCTGAGGTAAATGCTGAGTTATGGCTCTTCCAGCATCCCCTGGCAGAGGCAGCAGCTCACTGTCCCTGGGCAAAAGCCACAGCTTTTGGCCTCAAAGCACCTGCTCCCTGTCCTGCCTGTTGGATCCTGCCTTGTTTGTTGTGGCAGCCTGAAGCTCTTGCTGCTGCACCTGTGAGGCTTTCARATTAATCTCTGATTGTTTTGTGTGTAAAAGCAGTGCTTATTTGATGTACTGATGTGAAAAGAGAATTAAATGCTGTGGTGCTTCACAGAAAGGTTTGTTTTGCTCAGAATGTGGTGGTCTGTGGTGTGCTTGGAAGGATTTGTGAAATAAAGATTTGGCCTTTGAGGGAGGGAGAGCACTGAGTTCAGAGTTCAGGCCATTAAACTGATTTGTCTACTGACACCTTCCCTTACACATGGGCAGTGRCAGCTGGGAACCAAACAATATAATATTGTTTATAATATTAATAAATATATAATAAATAATATTAATTACAGWTTAATCTGTAATTAATATTRTCCTTTTTCTTCTAGACCTAAATGTAAACACCAAGAAAGTTTAACAGAACCCACCCATGATTTTCAGGTAGTTCCTGCCTGTGTCACATCCCTTGTGTACCACGGGAAGTATCATGGAGAATATTCTGTAAAGTGTTAATTTCCTGCTGCCTTAACTTGTAACAGGGAGCATTTACTTCAGCACTGACACACAGATTGTACTGGATCTGGTGATTCCTGAGAAGGATGATGTACCCTCCTCATGTAGTAAAATGAGTGTTTTCTGTCAGTGTTACTGCTCTGTGCTCCCCGTGTTGGGGCTGACTCAGCACAACCAAACTTTCTAATTGCACTGTAACCATGCTGTAGTTCTTGGGCATTTATTGGTAGCTTCTGCCTGATTTGAACTGTAAATTAGAGTGAAWTCACTATTTCCTTCTCTGAGAATGCTGAGTGGCTAGCTGAAGACATGAAACAATGAATTCTCTGCTTGCTCTGGCAGGCAGGAGCTGAGCCATGCCCCGGATAGCTGGGCTCCAGCATGTCCAGCAGAGACTGGGGAGCACAAAATGCTTCTCCTTCCTCCTCCTTCCCCAGCTCTCTATACTGARCATGACATCATGTGGTTGGGATATCCCTGCATCAGTCAGGGTCAGCTGTCCTAAACGTGTCCCCTCTCCATTCCCTGTTCCCCCCAAGCCCCTTTCTGGCAGGGCGGAATGAGAAGCACTCAAAAAAATCCATCTCTATATCATCAGCCCTGTATTGTGCACAAATCCAGAACATGGCCCATACATGTGAAGGAAATTAACTTTATCACAGCCAAACCCAGCATATTTCAGTGTTTCTGTGCTCTGTGTGAAGGTCTCTTKTATGTCTCACATGCTTTAATGTTCTTCACATACACAAGTTTTGTAGAGCCAAGGTAAAGGTGAATGTCAGCCTGTTGTGGAGCAACAAGAGACCATGGATGGAGATACACAAAAGATCACTCAGCTTTATAGAATTTTCTTAAAGGGATCCTGCTAGCAGTTTTGTCCCTTAACATGACAGGTTGGAAGTAACCAAGAAACTATTTCTCTTTTGTTATGGAGAACTGTTTAGAACCTGATTTATACCTGGTGTGACTTGCCAAGTCCTCTCTTGGGCTCCTCAGTCACTTTTAGTTGTTGAGGTTTCCAAACTGCAACAGTCAAATGAAAGCCATCAGTCTGGTGGTTAATGGTGCAGATAACTTTATTGAGGTCAGTTAGGTGGTGCATTCCTTCTGCTTCACAAGGGAGGATGAAATTTCATTAGGTGTTACCACTTGCACACTGGAAGCTTCTAAACAATCCCTTGTGCCTGTTGGAGACTGGGGAAGGTACCCAATCTAGTTCCATGTGAAACTGTCCTGGGGATCTTGGTGACAGACAGAGAAATCTGTGATAGCTGTCTTTGGGTGTTCTTGTGACCTGATTTGATCCATTACAGGCACTGTTTCAGTAACCACAGAAGGAAAGAGCAAGACTCAGAAGGCCATTTTGGAATGAAGTGAAGTAATGAATGGAGTTGTGGTTAGACCATGGAAGATGGTAAAAAGTGTATTTCTCTCAAGGTGTTGATGGGAATTCAACACACAGGGCAGTGGTTTGAGTGTTGAGGCAGTGCATTTTCCCTTGTCTCCCTGCTCCACAAATRAGTAACTCTGCTAGAAGCATCAGACTGAAATGCAGGTGCTACACATGGGTGTARCAGACAGGTTTGATGGCCCCTTAGTGTTCTTCTCAACTATTTTATCAGATTTTTAGCTAGAAAAATTTTGTGTTATGTTTTTCCTTTTTCCCCTTCTGTTAGATTCCTGTTCTGCAAGGCCAGTGGCTTTCCCATRTGCCACTCCTTCCTCACAGAGTGCAGCAGAAATGTTGCTGTTGGAGAATTAAATGGCAATAAGTTTTTWGGGGGTTTGGGGTCAAAATCTGTTGCCTTGTCTTTGATGTCTGACTGCAGTTCTACCATGTCTGCTTTCCAGAAATGATTAAAAATGATTAAGCATTTTGTCCTTTAGGTTAAGCGCTACCAGTGCACCTTCGAGGGCTGTCCACGCACCTACAGCACCGCCGGCAACCTGCGCACGCACCAGAAAACCCACCGTGGGGAGTACACCTTTGTCTGCAACCAGGAGGGCTGTGGCAAGGCCTTCCTCACTTCCTACAGCCTCAAAATCCACGTCCGGGTGCACACCAAGGAGAAACCGTTTGAGTGCGATGTGCAGGGCTGTGAGAAGGC